TTGGTGACGCTGCAGACAAAAAGCTGCAAGGGGGCCGGTGGGTTCCGTGCTCCCCGGCAGCAGCAGCCTCTGTGGGGCAGATCCAGTCGTCCACATGAAACAAAAGTCACACTCTCCGGCTGGAAAGTCTAACCACAGCCTCATAACTCACTGAGGTCATAAAAAGCTGCACAATGACCGACATGAATCAGACCGCATTCGGCGTGTCCGATGGGAAAGCATGCTTATATCCCGACCCAGAACATTTTCAGATGAGAGAACTCGAATCACACGGAGATGCTCAACCTCTCTCCGCACTCACACACTCGTTTCCACATTCCTCTGTTGCATAACCATGTCGTGAGCAGGTCAAAGGTCGGCATCAACAACAATGCCCTCCAGTCTGAGGCAGCAAGTAGGGTGCGAGAAAGGAGACACCTTCCTGGAGCGTAGGAGGTGGTATTGATTGATGCTGTGCAGAAGTGTCTATTCTCCAGTAAAGCATGGAGCTTTTATCAGGCCATTATAGCCTCAACGGGCAGAAGATTGGGTTCCCTCGATGCCCTGAAATCCCGCTCAACAGCTATTATGCTGCACAGAACGAGCGGGGAGATAATCCCAGGCATCTCTATTCACACCTGTCCACTCATATTCACATCACAATGGGAGTTTGTGTGAGGGAGTCTTCATTTGCATAGTTTGGTCTGTTTTATATGCAACAGGAGGAGAAAGGGAAACATTTGACAAAAGGAATAAATATCGGCTGTGCTGCCAGTTTCAGCATTTTTATGTGTCTCTCTGATTTCCAATGCCTGCAGTATCTCAGTTCATGAGATCCGAGAGATAAAGCTTCCATTATTAAAGTGGGATTAGAAAACTTGAGCTTTGGCGTCTTGGTGACGCTTACAGTTAGCTGAACCTTACTTTTAAACGGTGTGAGGTGTTAGAGATGGAGTTGGATATGACAGCTGTGAAGATAAAGTATGTCGCATTCATTAATCTTTAGAACTGAATGCTGAAATGATTGATTAGTCGATTGACAGAAAATTACAATACGTCACTTATCAGGCAAAAAGCCACACATTTGCAAGTTCTGCTTATCAAATTTTAGGGTTGCAACTGACAATTATTTTCTTTTTAAATATTAACTAATCTGCCAAAAAAAATTTATTAACTGATTAATCAGTCAAATAATAAGTAATCAGTCTAATCAGTGGGGATACAACAGAAGCATTCCCCCCCGCTGCTGAAAGAAATCCATCCATTTTTCATTCTCTTATTTTCTCTTTTGTGTGTTTACTATTGCTCTTTAATAAAGCAAAAGCATTTCTTATCTGCTTACACGATTAATCGATTGAATAATCAGCAGAACAGCGATAGCAGTAGTAACAGCTGCAGCCCGGAAAACATCTGATAGTCAAGATGTTATTTAGAAATATAAATCTGTCACTGATTATGTTTACATGCACACGAGCATCCTGGTTTTCATCATAAAACATGGAACATGGATAAATGTGGTTATTTATATCCCAGTAAACATACATAATGCTAATTATATCTGGGCTTTAAATCATCTGTGCTGATGCAGGCATTTCCTTAAAACTCCTCCACATCAAGCAAATACAAGTTATCTCAGCAAGTTGAGGATGAACCCAGTTTAGTTTCTGGCTGTCAGGTAATGGAAGATGAGAGCGATAATACAACCTAACATCTGTGTTACCAATAGGGATGTCCTGAGCCAATCCTAAAATATCTAAAATCCTAAAAAAAGTGCAGATCTTTAGGAGTTTAGGGCTGATCCGGACATATTTGAAGGGATTGGTATTGGCGAAAATAAACCCGATCAAAATCTGATCCTTTCAATAATGTCCACCTCAGCCTGGTGTTGCTCAAAGCTGCTCTCCTTTACAGCAGCAGAGCTCTACAGTGCAGCAATACAAAATACAGATCTGCAGAGTTCCAACTCTAACTCTCACTTTCTCATTAGCAGATCATATCACCCATAACTTGATGACAGGCCGTTAAGTTTGACTGTTGTTGGGTTTGTGTTGCTTCTCTGCAGCCTGTGTCTGTACTCAGCCAATGATCATTCATTATCATTCCTCTCATATTAATCATTTCAGCACGTCAACGTTATAGTTTTGAACCAGGACCTTCAGTATTTGGATCAAGTAGCTCGTGAAAATAGGGTGAGCCAAATTTAGCAGCCTTCAGAAGTTATTTCAGTGTGCCAGATATATTCAGTCAACATTTAGGTAAACAGAAGTATCAGACTCATATCAGGACTAAGACCCAGGGCAAATAAGAGGTAAAAAAACTAGATCCCTAGTTACCAGTGTCAAACTTTCACTTTCTTTTCAGCATGTCATTGTCAACTGATAAGACACCTGCTCACATGGCAGTTAATGATGGAAAACCCTTCGACCCATCTGACTAATTTACACCTTCACGTATTTCTATTGCGATTTATCTTACGATCGGGCTGCACAATATGGTGAAACAATCATGTTGCGATTATTGTGACACATATTGAGATTGTGATATGATTCACGATAAATGGGGATTATCACTTTTTAATTAGTTTTCACTGAAAAACAATTAAACTCACGATGATATGACATTTTCTGGGATCTGTACCAAACAAACTTGTTTTCTTATATGTAGAGAACAAGATTTGTAGATCAGGATATCTCTTCAGAACTACAGTATTTCATTATAATGCTGTTTTGTCACACATTTTACCTCCTGCAGCTACTGCACTTGGCCATATTGCAATTTGGATAATGATTACCTGTACAGCCCTTCCTGCGATATATCTTTACATTCGTAGTTCCTCAGAACTAGATTAAGGGCATATCCAGGTTTCTCAAATGTTTAAATGTGCAAAGACATAATCAAAAATCCTGATCATAACTAGGATGTAGATGGACTCCATAAGATATATATACTTGAATATGAATACTCATAGATAAGGAACTGACTCTGGGATATTTCTACATACTCCAGTTGGGATCAGAGACTTCCAATTCTTTCTCTCTGTGCCCTTCACACAAATCAGCTCACCACTTCATCAGATTACCTCCCACCCCTCCCAATAACGGTCTGTTCGCCCACTTTACTACATAATCAACTGCCTATGGGCTCAATCTAACATATCTGGCAAAGCCCGGAGTGCTGAAGCCCAGTATTACAGCCTGGCATGTGACCAGTTTTCAAACGCTCTTTGCTCGGCACTGCTGAGCACCTAATAACAGGATGTGGAGAGCCAACTGACGAACTGGTCAAACTCCAAGTTGTGCTGCCCCGAGGGCACCGAGCTCTGGGTGGCTATCAAATAAGAGAAGGGGATACGGGAATCAGGGTGGTTACGGAGCACTTCTAAAAGCATCACACCACCATCGCCGTAATGAAAAAAAAACACGTATTCCAACCGGTTTTGTACAATTTGAGGGCTTTTTAGAGTGTGTGTGAGTGTATATAATCACAGCACTGGCCAGGAGTGCTTGCTGGCTGGCAAAGTTTCATATCAGAGTTCCTGCATGTGTCTGAACCACAGGAATTAGGCAAGAGTGTGACATGATTTAAATTCAATAACAATGCACGCCCCGACACCCCCTTCCAATACACACACACCTCCACCACCACCAGCCGACAATCCCTCCCACCCTCCGCCTCTCTTCCTCCGTTTCTTCTCCCCAACATCTGAGAGCTGCTCACATTTCTCTCGCTGCAGAGGGTCGATTAAACCAGACACATGTACGGGAGGAATTTGGAGACTTTTGGAAAACAAGTGATTTTCTTTGATTTGAATTATTCATGGGTGTGTTAAAGCGAGAACATTTTTCCAACAAGGTCCCAAGATGTTAAAGAGATAGACAGCCAAGAAACATGAAACGTATGAAGTTACAAAAAGAGGGAAAAAAAACAGCAGTGCGAGCTAACCCGAAAATATCACTGTATCAAATAAGACTAAAATGCAACAATAACAAACTCTAAGAATAAACCTTTCACAAATAATTTGTCACTTTGCACCAGAGATAACCCCTGACCTGACCCACAAGTCCCTCTGTAACTCTTAATAGAAAGCCGGCTGACTGTTGGGCAACAGTGGTTGCTACTTTATTTAATTTATTTAGCTTAACACACACTGACTGTGGTGTTATAGCCGTTACTGATAGGTATATGCACCATAATTATACTTAATTAAGTATTCAAGAGCATGCCAGTTAATTTTGTTCTAGATTAGAGCCTGATCAATACATTGAGCGGGCTGATTACATCAAACGTTAGCCTATCTATAGTGTATCGGTGTCTTATTGGTTATATTTGTTAGACTAGTGTGACGTTTTTGACACTTATTTAGTGCCCAAAAGACAATTAGATTAGACACACATCTCTTTTGATATTCCATTAATCATTCAAGTCATTTATCAAGTTAAAAAAAAGTTTAAGATTCACTCATTTCAGCAGTTTTATATTGTTGTAAAGTGAAAACACTTCGGTTGGTTGGACAAAAAAAGCTTAAACTTTTAGTATCAATCAAAAAAACTAATGATAATTAAACAAATTGTTGGTTGCAGCAACAGCAAAATGTTTCCACTCAGTACATACTTCTTTTTAATAACTACATTTAAGGGATTTTAACAAAACAGGCAACTGATAAATTAGTAATCAATATCAACTTAGGCCTCAAAAACTCAGTATCAGCCAGGTTCTGACTTTACCTGCAGCAAAGATAGAAAACACTTGTCTCTGGGTCTTTGTAATTGTTTTGACATATAATCCCACTTTGTGGCAGCAGGGTGAACAAGTTAAAACTCTACTCCGGGCTTAAAACACTCTAAACTCCCTATCCTTCTGATGTGAGGCTGCTCTGTATCTTCTGACTTCTCTGTTGAGATGACAGCCCAGAGAAAAGGTGTTTTCCCTGCAGGGGGATTCACTTAAAGTCTCCCGTTAGTGTCACATTAAACTCTCAGTTAAGTATCATTTAATTATCGACTTAAGCTGGACTGACTCACCTCGTTGGATGGTATGCTGACAACACCTGTTGATCTCCTCTTTTCCCTCAACTTCCTCTTCTCGATCTGTCCTTTCCCCTTTCTGGCACTGGGACCAGAGCTATTCTTCTCCTTGGCTTTGCTGGGCGATGGACTTTCTTTGTCACTGTCATTGCACGCCATGGGGCTGGAGTCCGGGGAAGCGCACTGAGCCTTCTCCATCTGAGGCGGAGCTTTCTTCAGGTTGCTCCCCGGGGTGGCTGTGGGTGCAGCGGGGTGGGCAGCGGGGTGGGCAGCAGGGTGGGCAGCAGGGTGGTGCGTTTCCTCCTCGGGTCTCTTCAAAGCTGTGCCGGAGGAGGACCGAGCCACAGAGTAGGAGGAGGGGAGGCAGTTCCCAGTGGAGGCGCTCCGGTCCGGGTTGCCGTTGTTGGTGAGCTCGGTGCCCGGCGGAGCTGCGTGGCGGCCGCTGTTGTTGCTGGTGCTGTTTGGGTTTCCGGCACCCATGGGAGCACCGCTCGCTGCGGCAATGTCCCCCAGCATTTTGGCTCTCATTTTCTCCCGTTTTGCCTTCCATTCCTCCAAAAAGTCTGTCGGGGCGTTTGACTTAAACCCGCCTGTGGCCATTATCCCTTTTCTTTTTTAATAAAAGTTCGGCACGTTTAGTGGAAAATGAACTTTAAGTTGAACTTTCAGCTCTCGGCTCCCGTCCTAATGGCACCGCATTCCTCAAGTGATTAACCCGGGTGCTGTTGACAGGTAGGAGGGGAAATAAAGTCAGCCTCACGACAAACAGAAACTTTAAATCAAACTTTATTTTATGTCTTTGTCTTTTTTTCATAAACCCATACAGAGACACACAACGTGCGCACATAACGTCAATAATAGCAGGTTCTTAAAATTAGCTGCTCGCGTGAAATGTGTTAAAAAAAAAAAAAAAAAGAAAAGTTGTAACTCTCCGGCTGCCTGTGTTGATTTTCTGTCCTCGAGGAAAAGTTGCTCAAAGTGTGTGTGACGGGGGGGGGGAGTTGTCGAGGCGAGAGCCGAAGTGTAAAATTCAGGTAGAGACTCACCTGTGTGGAGCTGTTTGAGTCGGAGCTGCTCTCTTCGGTTCGACCAGGTGTGCCCGCGGTCCGCTCGGATGAATGGCGCTAGTCTCGAGCGCTGAGAGCCGCTGCGCTCGCTCTGCCCTCTGGCTCACCGGGCGAGTCCGAAAACACCCGAGCGCTTCCGAGCGAAGCCGAAGCGACCACGAAAGCTCAGCCCGAACATAAAGCCGCTGTAATAGTCCTTTAATATTCCCATAGGCGCTTAAAGCGATTTATGGTGCTTTTTAAAGGGCATTTACGGTGTTTTATGGTACTTTTGTAATACTCCCGTACAGACAATGGTATATATATTATATATCATACCTTATCCTACATTTGATTTTATAATATTTACATAATTTCATGGGTTTCTACTGCATATATTTTAATATTCCTGTAGTTAGACCACTATATAGTTTCTGGGTAAGTTATGTTTAAGTTTTAATATAGTTTTTAATGTTAACTGACTTTATGATGACTTTGTCATACACAATACATCTATATGTTTATTGTTTTTCATTTTTATTTCATCATATCACTGACTTCTATTCTTCTAGTACTTTAGGGAATTACAGTTATCTCATTTTTCTTTTATAGTATTGGAATATAGTTTAATAATGTGTACAACAATGTAGTGGTGAAATGATGAGTTTATTCATGACTTGATGGACAGGTGAATAAAATCAAATTCTAATAATTAACTGTGGGAGTAATTTGTCAAGTTAAAAAAAAGGGGAAATATAAATTTCTTTACACTTTTTCTGATTGTTGGTCCAACAAAATGAGCTATATATTAGATAAAGATTATTATTGTTATTGTTGAGTGTGGGATGGTCAGAGATAGCCTTAAAAAAAAAGAGAAATATATTTCACTTTTTGAGTGTTGGTTACTCAAATGAAGGTATATCAACACGTTTTTCATCCCTGAAATCAGTAAATGGCATTTGTTATTATCGCCTAACCTGGGTGTATGATAAATATGGTGTCCTTGTAAAGTGTACTTGGCAGTATTCCTTCTCGTAAAGAAGTGTTATGTGGAAATTCTTTGTTATTACAGAGTGAATTCTTGAGAAATGTTGTGAATAACACTGAAATTGAATATTTTTCCCACTTTCAGAATGACATTTTTTAAACAGAAGTTTATGAGCCGAGGACCTTGAAAGCAGCATTTCAATGGTAAATTTATTCTATCAGCCACAAGTGTGTGTTTATAAAAGACTTCACGACTCAAACTTACACAGACAGCACATGTCACTGATTTCTTAGTCTTCAATAGGCCTTCGATAATTGCACAGTTGGAGTGCAACATTTCTGCAGAAGACCGTTTGACGACGATTGAGCTCTCCCACGCAGATCTCACAGACTGACTCCCTTAGATGCCGGATGACTCATCCAACCAGCTCTGATCAGAGGACAGCCTCCTTGTTCATTTTGTCACACATGCTGGTGTACGCGTTTAATTCCAGCTAAAGGGAAGGTTAAGGACTATCAACACAAGAGTGACACATTTATTTCTTGAACTTATGAGGCTGTGGTTGTGAAATGTGAATAGTTACTGAAAGTTGAAATCTCCGGCACACCTTAATGCTTCTTTCTATCTTTACAGGCTACAAAGACAGTAATGCGTCGCCTTGTATTTCCAGATTTTCAGTCCAGACCTTTCAACATGTCCTTGACATATACAACACATTCATGAAAATACCAATACTAGTTTACAGACCTGTGCCATTTGTAGAAATACACTTAAAAATGCTCACATTACACTTCATATGTTGTTCTTATATAAGTCTATATGATTTTATTCTTTAAAAAAAACTTTATTTGTGTGAAAACTGTGTAAAGGATGAATAAATGGCTAAATGACCCCCCAGAGGTCCTTTAGAGGGTTCTAGGTGGCCCCCAGCAAAAAGGGGAATCATTTATTTTCACTATATTTCCATCTATATGACAGAATGTATGACAGTCATGGGTTTCATACACTTTCTGTAATAAAACATCTAAAAGCAAAAATCCTATCAAATGGGGGTGCCTGGGACAAAATCTTATAAAACCGGGGTCCATGCTCTAATTTGTGTCAGTTTAGAGGTCCTTGACATGAAAAAGTTTAAAAACAATAACTTGGGCAATACCGCCATATAAAAATATTCCATTAGATGTAAAAGTCCAATGGCACTTTGATGATTCAAGGGACCCTGGAAGTTTTATGAGGCATCCAAAAAGGACAAAATTGTATCCGAGGACTTCCAAATCTCAATTTTTAAGCCGGGATTGATGAGAAGTCCTTGGATTGTTCAGAAAAATGGAAATTTGAACTCCATCTGCTGGGAATGAGCTCCAAAAACAGCTAAAAATATCAAAAACATCCAGTAAAATAGAGTCAAATATCAATGTTCAACACTAACTTTGTTTCTAAACGCCAGTCACACAGTCAGCATTAGCATTTCCTCCCCCTTCTGCAGCTCTCCTGTGTAATGATCCCAGCTTAGTGGAAATGTAATTAATCTAACAAAGTGCAAGTCATTTCAGCGTGCTGATGCAAAGCTCCATTGTAATAACGCTGCACGGCATTCCTGTGATATTCAATCCTTGAGCTTCCTGCCATTACCTCACTGTGCGAGCAGGTTTCTCCCCACGTGATGATTTAAACCCGCTATAGGTGTTTGCTGTCAGAAACCTAATTTCATGCAAGGATAATAGCACTATAAGTTAACTGGGCTGAAGGGAATGAGCCTTATGGTGTTAGATTTGTGTGCGTCTCGCTTGCTCCCAAGGGTGCACTGACTTTCAGGCATGTTCATCACTGTTATGTAATGTTTTTTTTCCCAAATCAGGAAAAAGAAGCTTTTTTCAGTGTTAATGGACCCGTGTTATTTACAGTGCAGGTTTGAAAATGTGACGCACACACACGGGTGAGAGGGAGAGCAGGCATTCAGCCATTATCTCTGCATGTGCCAACCCTGTTACAGATAATGAAAAAACTTGGGTGGAGCAAAAGAGTGAGGCGCCTCTCCTAAAAATAAACCCTGATCTATGGACTCAGGTCACACTGCTGCATATTTAGCATATTTCTGTCTGCTCTTGAGGAGGAAGAAAAGAATGAGGGGGCATAAGGGTTGTCACAGAGTGTTTCCTTCCATGCCAACACAAACGTTCCAGTAATGGATTCCCAAAATAAGTGTACTTAGACTCCATATTGAGTATTTTATTTAATGTTTAGGTTTATTCAAATTATCTTACACCCTCTCTGAATGCTTTATGGTGCTTTTTTTTTTTAATGAATAGCCATATTATGCATTTTATAACCCATTTGTGGTGAACAGTCAAAAAATGCATCGCTTGCCTGGCTGTAAAATGAGCATCGCAAGTAACCTGAAATTTATAAGAAACATAATTTAATGGCCACTCTTGCGTTCACACATTTTCATTTATTTGTCAGTAATGTTTCAGTCAAAAGCTATTAGGTGGGTAATTTTGTAGCTAGCAGCCTACACAAGGAACTCACTCCCCCATGAAATTGTTTATCCAAGAGTAAGTAAGTATTCGAGAAATGTTTCTCCCGAGCCTCCCAGATGTTGCCTTTGCACACAGTTCTGCAGATACCCCCCACCCCACCCCACCACTGCAGAAAAGATAAGAATATTATGAATTCTGCAACAGAGAGAGACTTGAGGGAAATCATGTTTTTAACCACGTTAGTCAGTCAGACTTTGACGACTATAAAGGTAAACAGGATTATCATTCTTCACATGGAAGAACAGACACACAAATTGGGTTTTTGAGCTGATGAGGAGTTCACAACTTTACATACTTACATGTTTAACCTCTATACTGTTGTGATGAAGCCACCAGAAAAGGTTGCCTTTTGTATTAAAATGTGGGAGTCCCTTTTAAGGAATTTTGTAGTGAGGTTTAGAAGTGCTGGTAGGTAGATTTTATTAGCCAGGTTAGCTGTTTCCCCTCTGTTTCCAGTCTTTATGCTAAGCTAAGCCAACCTAACCAGCTACTGGCAATGGCTTCATATCTCTCATACTCTTGGCAAGAAGGCAACTACTTGTATTTAATCATGAAAATCAGTCAGCAAACTCTTGAAACCTGCTTGAGTTGCGTAATACATCACAATGTGCAAATCATCATTGCTGGGCTTTTTCTTCCAAACTACTATTACCGTTTATGGTTTTGCAGTTACTACATGGTGTTTTCTCACAATAATAACATAACTTTTACTAAAATTAAAGCAGACATGGTCAAGGACTGCAACCCTCAAACTTGTTCCCAAGCACATTTTAAAGGTCTGACAATCAATTTTCAAGCCATATTGAAATGAACAGAATGTAATAATAGCCAATGAGGCGGATGAAATGCAATAAACTAAATAAGTTATAGTTACAGTTACGGCTGTACATATAATATATGTACAATATAATGGAAAACCACCTAACAGTTGTTAAGACATTTCTGTCTGGACCAAAGAAATGGAAACACTGGAAAATGGTTTGGAAAACACCACTACATCACTATCTGTGTGAGGGGTTTGCAGGAGTCCAGAACTTAGAGAGCCTGCAGAAATTGTAACAAAGTCACCAAACTTAATGAATGTGCACTTACTAAATACAACCCTCTACAGCTACATGAGAGTTCATGTAGCAAAAAAGGCTGACAGATAACTGTGCTTATGTTCTTGGTGCTGTTCCTCTTTGTTCTACAGATTCAGTCCTGTGTCCAGCTCACAGGTTTGTCCGTTATCCCCTCTGTGCCCTTCAACGGCTCCCAGTACCGTCCCAGTACCATCTGCAGGGTGCCATCTGTTGATGATGATGGCGTGATGCTGGGTGACTGGGTGGGTCACTGTGCCAACCTCCTCTCCTAGCTCTGTGCTGCTGAGTTGGCTGTACACACTGCGAAAACTGAATCTGGCAGCATTGTTTTGACAGACATTTCCAACTTGTTTTTATGAAAAATAAGACATTAAAGCATTTAAATGTGAGCTATACATTTGTATATACAATCCTAGAATACACTGTAGATGAAAAATCACCAATTTTGTGTCACTCAGCTTATCATAATTGAAAATATCTGCTCGTTTTACTGTCGATAGAAACGGCAGAAACATTCGATTTTGTAGTCTTTAGTGTTAGTCAATGCATTAAAGGAGCTGCTGATCACTTTGGAAGTGATTCCTGGTTAAAACCCTACGTTTTAAACTTTGGGGGCTACACTTTTATTTTACATTTAGGTCATGAACTTTGCCTTTGAGACTCAATCTAAGACTACATGACTTCTGGGGCGCCCTGGTAGCTAAACCGAGCCCTTGCCTGCTGCAGCCACGGGTCTGAGCTGTCCTATCAATTAAAGGCAAAAGCCTTTGATATTTAAAATGACATCTCAAGGTTGATGATTCTTTTGCAGCACGGCCCTCGGTAGGCAGATCAGCTTAGTGGAGTCACTTCATAATTACCATAGTAATGTCATAATGTCACACTGAAGCGTATACTTGAATTTGGTGCACGAGGTTTGCATTTTGTCCTCCTCCCAGCTCCGTCACTGGCTTTGAGAGGGATTAAAAAGCAGTATAACAACACTGCAGCACTACAGAAAAATAGCTGTTTTCAGCAACTCTTGCAAGTAGTAATTTGCTTAGCTAGGGCTGCAAATAATCATTATTTTCATTATTGATTATTTGATTAATCGTTTAGTCTCTATGTTGTCAAAAGCTAATGAAAAAGGCACATTGTAAATTTCCAGAACCCGTGGTAACATCTTCTATTTGCTTGTTTTGTTCAATCAACAGTCCAAAACTAAAAGACATCCCATTTTCACTCAAATAAATCCGAGAAAAGCAGCAGTTCAGGAAGTCGGAACCAGTTTCACCTTCATAAACAACTTAAGTGGTCATCGTTTGTCCACTCACTATTTGAGTAGTTTATTATTTAGCACTAGAATCCTCTTTAGTATAACCTTTTGGATGTTGCCATTATACATCACATCACATTACAGTGAAGGAAGTGTCTATAAATGCAGCTGGTGACACCGCAGTCAGAGAGACGTCTCCATATCCTCCTTTCCAGATTTATCCACACCACTCCACCGCTGCTTTTGAATCACTCTTTTCTAACCGAGTGTGTTTGTCTTTGTTTCAGTGACAGACTCGAGCTGTCACTTCATCAGGACGCCTCCATTCGTCATTGTTTGTCATCGGAGAGAAACCCCTGCTGCTGTTTGTCCTCGGCGCCGAGGGGTTTTGCTCATCCAGTGTGTCTAAGTCTGGTGTGTGTTGGGGGGTTTAAAATTGCAACTGGGGGAGGAGGTTTGTTTGGCTTGCTGCACTTTACGGTAGAGAAGAGAGGGAGATTAGGCCATGGTGGAAATAAAATGAGTAGGGAGGATGAGTGTGAGTGTCTCTGTGTGTGACAGCAGTTGCCAAGATCTAATTCCTTCTTTATGGATGATTTCCAACATAGAAAAGCACAGCCCGTCATCTCGTGGCGGAGCTGCTGTCAGGAATCAAACAGAGCGGCCAGCAATCAGGAGAATTTCTTTTAGGTCTCTAATGCTTCCTCTGAGGCTTACTGCTGGTTCTGGTTCTGGTTTCAAGTTCTGACAGTGGTCACACCAGTGTTTTATTCCAATTTACTTTAAAATATATATATAATCACTTTACGGATCTCCTAACTTTTCCTCTAGTGCCATCATCAGGTCAGTATTTCAATTTGTCCAATAGCTGCAGAGCTGATGACATTCACATCAGCCTCCCTCAGATGTACTTTGTGTAAAGTAGCAAATGTTAGCATACTAACACACTTAACTAAGATGGGGTCCAAGTACAGCCTCACAGGACTGCTAGCATGGGACATTTCCGGCCTTTCATCCCCTCTCATTGGCCGGAAACATGTCAAAAATAACATATAATCCAGCCTTTAAGATTTTTATCTTTTTAAATATTTGTTTTTCTAGTTGTTTCATATCAGTTTAAACTACCCTTTCATATACAATTTCCTATACGTTTGATGCTAAAAAAATGGCAAAGGTCAAAGGTGTCCAAATGGCGTGCAAAGGTTTGGATTTTTTTGTTAAGTATGATGTTAGTAACCGAAATATATTCAGAATATTATGCTTTTTTTTGTAGTACAATTTGAATTTGAAACCCCTGCTGTAGACTCTTAGTCTTGTTAAAATACCGAGCAGGATTCGCTTACAGCTGTAGAGATGACACGCATCAAAGATCCAAGTTATTAAATGTACTCCTGAGACTCGAAAAGTCGGTGAACCCACGATATATTAATCTGATTGAAAGTGAAGCGCCTGAAACTGAACGAGCTGTAGATGAAAGCTGAGCCGCGTTTACCATCTACAACAGATGTGAAATAAATATGCACACATGGAGGTACAGCCCCCTATAATGACAGAAACTAATGGCCTGATGTTGTCCTCTTTGCCTTTGAGCCAGGCGAACGACACCAAAAGGCAGCATTAATTCAAACCGTTTGTTGCTTTAATTTCATGGAGGCAACTGTTTAAGGCCAGGAATCTGTCTAAAAGTTTTTTTTTTTTCCATCTGTCGAGATCCTGATGAAGACATTCTGCTCGAGATGGTTGAGGAAGCATGTCCATGTCACAGTGCAGACACAGACCAGACTCCTTAACCGCGTACTGAGGCAATGGAAAATAGAAAAAGCCAGACACTTTGGCATGTCTCTGGGCAATTATAGCAGATACCACCGCTTATCCCCAAAGCTTAATCTAAAGATTCCAGCACTTCATCACAGGTTTATACAGCAAGTCACACCCAATACATGCAAAACCTAGAGCTTAAGTGAGTTCCACAGTCAGTGTCATATAAATCACATAAAGGAATCTGTTTTATTCAGTGGTGGAAGTTGCACAAAACGCTCACATGATCTGTCACTGTTATCTAACTCTGCTGCCATCTGGGATTACAATAAAGAACGGTGAAGCGGGGCAGATTCAGGAGTATAAACACATCTGAGGGGATCTCAGGCTCAGGGAAGACAGGGAGAGGAGTCAGCGTTTTTCCTCTTGAGCTGCAAACTTGCTGTCATGAGACAGTTACTCCTGCTCCTGCAGAGGCAGAATTGTATTTAACACGGTAATGTGCAGCTGAATAGGACTCCTGCGTGCCTATTTTATGGGGATGTGAGCTTTTGTTTGCATTCAAGTGCGAGGATTAGTTGAATTAAACAAAATGGCTGAAATTGATCAGGAATGTACACTCTCAAGCTAAAGAGAAAATCCCTCCACTATAGTAAAATAATGTTTGCAAAGCTGTGCACCATCTACTGGTGTGACTGAGTGTAGCAACGGTGGCTCTCTAAATCCCTGTTAAGAGATGGGAGCAGGGACATTTAAAGTACAAGATGTCATCCTTAAATGTCATTTTCATAGGTATACATGAGTGGTTACAAGCTTATAACCGCCTTAAAGAGTCAGTTTACCCAAATTACTAAAGAATATTGTCTTTTACCCCTCGTCTCGTCCAGCCATGCAGGTAATTTTAATTTTATGTGCTCAGATTGTTGATATATCTGCCTCTGAAACGCCTATCTTTGCCCCAATACAGTGGAAGTTAATACAAATTTTGTTTGTGGTGCTTCAATGTTGAAAAATCACCACGTTAGAAGAATCAGTGTCCCCGTTACTGTGAATCATCCAAAGACTCAATTGGAACTTCTTTCTTCCAAAGAAATAGTCCCTAAAATTTATTGTCAAACAATATTTTATTCACTACCAATGTATTGTGGTGGAGGTACAAATCTCTGAGGTCTTTAATTTGATTTTAATTAACATTTAACCAGGAAAGCTTCACTGAGATTAAAAATATTTTGTTTTTGAGCGTCCTGCTGGTGAAGTAAGGCAGCAATAACTATAAAACAGTGACAAACGTAAGAAAGATTCTACAAAATGTAACACAAAATCAAAATTGAACAGAAATTTAATCCTAGAAAAAAACATAAATGACACCTTAAAACAACCCAGAACACGTCCAAAACAATACGATTCTAATAAACCCCAAAACACAGGTGGAGCTCTAAAAGAAACCCTTCACGAGGGCCAATAATATCAATTAAATGATAGATATACCTTTCACGGTTATCAAAACCGTTTAAATCATTAGAAAAATGATGAAAATAATCAGACATGGGAACTTTACAATGTACAAGTTTATTTTTAATGAACTCTTCAGTGGTTGGTAGTCACAGCACAGCTTGCATGTATTAAGCCACACACCTATTTTACAAGATGACGGGAAAAAACAAAAGAAAAAAACAAACAAAAAAAAAAGTCTAAACCAGAGTAGATGGTCATCAGTCCATCTGCAGTGACTTTTTTTTTTAAACTTCTTTTACTAAAATATCCTTAAAAGGCCACTGAAATGCATAAAATGTTTTCAGATGCATGAAATATTAGATGGTGGCGATTTGCTTTAACCTGACATCAAGACTCCTCACATGGCATCGACAGTGCATGTAGACATTGTAAAAAGGACTGGGTTAGCGATACCTAAGATATTCTTTTTTTTTTTTTAGTGACAACACCTTGGCTATAATACTACAGCTTTAAAAAAAAAAAAAAAAAATTGGAAACAAAATTAGCACTCTTCCAAGATACTGAATACAATGAAAGTGAAATGTAGTGAAGCGATTATTCTGTTTTATCTCACAATTATGTGAACACTTATTTTAAACTGGAAAAAAAAATTAAAATAAAAGCACTGAACACTTGCCAGCCGTCCCGCGTAAGAGAGGCTCTACTGTTCTGTATCCAATGTCTTTAGACTATAAAAGAAAAATAATTAAAACACACCTTTTTGTCCTCTGGAATTTGTATACTTTTTAATAGTAACAGACGGGAACGATAAACGCATGCCATGTGCTGGTCTCAAACAAATACATACAGGTATATACAGCATCACTCAGTACCTGCTAAAACAAAGTGAGAAATACAGAGTATAAACTGACTACACTACAAACTTAAAACAAAACAAAACAAAAAAAAAAAAAAAAAAAAAAGAGGAGGAAGGTGAGCGATGGAAGCGGTGGAAGAGTGAAAAATCCTACTTGTGATGGACTCATCATTAAAGCATTAAAAAAAAAAAAAAAAAGAAGAAGAAGAAAGAAATGCATATTGCACATACAGTGAAAGCTTAAATTCCACCAGGTCCGCCTCGTTTCGCTAAAGCGAGAATTCAAAATTTTTCCCTCTTGGAGGAAGACACAAAGAGGTACAAAAAAAAAAAGAAGGAAAAAAAAAAAAGAGGAGGGTGGGCGAGTGTGCATTGGTGATCTGTGTGTGTGTGCGGGAAAAACAATGAATAAAGTAGTGGAGTCAGGGGCCACAAGGAGCTCATATCGGGGCAGAAGTGGCACTTTGAGGGGGGTTAAAAGGAGGGAGGGAGGGAGGGGGGAAACTGCACAGCACACAACACTTACACAGGGAGAGGAAAGAAAAAAAAATTACATCAGAGAGATTGTGGCACAAATAAAATCAGGTGTTGGATAATATCTGTTCTTCAGTGAGAGAGAGAGAGAGAGAGAGAGAGAGAGAGAGAGAGAGAGAGAGAGAGAGAGAGAGAGAGAGAGAGAGAGAGAAGATTGATGCAAGTGTTTTTTCTTTTTCTCTTTATGTACAACTAAGGCTTATTGGTTAAATAGTTTTCAGGCTTCCCCGCCCACAATGCTTTTAACATGCTGATCACACAACCCTTTTTCCTTTTGCTCTGTAAACTCAGTGGTTCTATCGGGACAGCGGCCACACAATCGAGTGGATTATAGTCGAGGAGGTGGCGCGGAAGGGGGGGGTGGGGGTAGATGGATGGATGGATGGATGGATGCTGCGGTGGTGTTGGTGTTGGTGGTGGAGGAGCAAAAGGGAGATAAAAAGGGAGTTGGGAGGAGAAAAAGAAAAAAGGAGTCTTGTCTCTGATGTCTGTTGCAATTAATATCTAAATGTGCAATTCCATTAGTCACTGCCATGGGGGACTAGGGGGGTGCAGAAGACGGGGCGGGGGGGGTCTGTTCTACTTGGAAAGCTTGCTAATGACTCGAATGAGTGCTCCGTTCTCGTCCTTTAGTCTCTGGTTGTCTGCTTTCAAGTCTGGGAGCATCTGAAAGGGAATAAAAAGGAAACAGGGAAGGGAGAGGGAGACACAGAGAGAGAAGGCTTAGACAAGTCTTGACAGATACACAGTGCTGTTAAACCAGTCAGGCTAGTTTTTTTTTTTTTTTACAAATTTGTTAATTGCAGCCTGTGTAAGCAATCTCGGAGTCACACAGCATCTCTCATGTTTTGTTTTCTCCTTTTTTTTAAAACAAAAAACAAAAAAAACATCCTTGTTCCAAGTCAGGAGAGAGAGAAGTAAAAAGCGGGCACACCACAGGCCAAAAAGATCCTCAGAAAGCCATGCAGAATCTGAACGGCTGCTCACCGGCAGCCGGTAAAATATACAGCAGAGGTCAAAAATAAAGTCACTTTTTCTATTTGATATAGTGCATATAACATTTGAAATCATCGTTGTATGGAGTCCTACAGAGCCTGGCAGCTGTCAGGAGTAATTCATCTTAGTTTTTTTTTGAACAAATAAGGAAATGATGCTCTTGAAAACACTGTTAAGTAACAGCTTTCAGTTACAGGTTGTTAGCGGTAGGCGAGCAGCTGTGTTTCGGTGCTGAAGTTACACAGTTGATACTAATAAGAGACAGTTGTGATGCCACCTTGGGTGTTGTTAGGTGCGCATACTGTACACCGCTGTGTAGTCTAACTCAGTGCAAAATAGAAAGTGAAAGTTGTCAAGCCAATGGATAAGCTAATCTAAATGATGTTGTCTTTTGAATTTGGATTGAGAACCGTGGATATACTTCAGATTTAGCTTGTTAAAACAGCATTGGGACATCCCTTAAATATATGTTAAGATAAGAGGAAACTATAATGATTCCCAGGAGGGAAAACTAACATGTTTAAACGTCAATGTGATTGTTTAATGCTACGTTCTATTCATTTGTGCACATTAATTATTCATTTGTGTGTAAATAATTCATTTTCCCTCATGACACCTGCCGGGTTCAATAGTATCCTTGACATAGACAACAACCTCTCTGTGGATGTTTATAATGAGTCATAATAGGTGAATTCTTGTATTGACTTGTATAGTCTGAAGTGTTGAGTCACAGATTCTGAGGTTTAACATGAGTCAGATTGCTGTAGAATACTGATTCTGTAAACTTAAAATCTCTCTAATAAAGGCATAATGGCTATTGAAAATTCACCTATTTGGGTAGATATATACTATATATGTATATACTATTATGTAAACTGATGTTTGACTCTTATTCTAAACAGATGTATACGAGCTGTGGCGGTGAGGACTTTAGGTAGAAATCTTGATACACAACACTGAGACTCCAACAAGATATTTCAATCCCCTTAAAAAAAAAAAAAAAACAAGCTCATTAATTGATTACGGATGACAATCAACTGCTATTTGTAGAAACGGTGCTAAACCTGTGTCCAAATAAACCTGCTGGTGCATGCAGCTGACTTTAATGTTTGTTGATGTCATCAGTCAAATTAAAATTGGGGGGGGTAAAGAGGAGGGAAAGAAAAAAAGGTTCAGTCTCGGAAGATTTGGGTCAAAAAAGGTGATGCCAAAATGAGGAAGCCACTTCATGCAAGGAAGCCAGAACAAGCCAAACGGAACAACCGAGCTCCCTCTGATGGAAGCATCACTACATAAAACTACAAAGAGGACACTTTACTTTACAGCACTTGATGCGTTTGTTAATAATTAAGTCAATTTAGACACCTCCTGGCCTGAAATGGTACTTACATAAGCTTTATCTCCACCGGTTATTAATATACGCTGGTTACTTTGACATATTTAGGATGTTTTCATGAGCTGGAAGGGTGTGGAAATCACCTGCTAGTTGTGTACTGTAAAAGGAGAGTGTCCTGTTGTGGAAAAAAAAAAAAAAAAAAGACACCCTCCCCAATCTGAAAACCAAAAGCTCTGGGGAGGCAGAGGGGGACGGAAAGGGGAGTTTACAAAACCAGTGATGGTTGGGCGGCTGGGCACCTGCCTGTCTATGGGTGCGGGCAGAGCACGAATGGAGCATGAGAAGAATGGGGTTGGGAAGGAGGGGTGGGAAAGTGAGGAAGAAGAGAAGGAGATGGTGGTGGACAGACGGACGTGGCTTAGAGGTCGACGGTGGGCAGCTGGCTGCAGGCGGACTGCGAGAGCTTTGCCAACACGCGGGACAGGGCCCGGTTCTCGGCCTGCAGCCGCTCTTTAACCTGCCGCAGGGCCTGAACCTGCTTTACCTGGGGGAGGTTCTGCAGGGGGGGGGAAAACAACAACCACAACACAGGAGAACACAGAGAGAGAGAGAGAGAGAGAGAGAGAGAGAGAGAGAGAGAGAGAGAGAGAGAGAGAGAGAGAGAGAGAGAGAAGGCAGAGAGGATGGAAGGAGGAAAAAAAAAGAAGAAAAGGAAGAATGGGTTTCAAGAAACAAATGAGGAGAGAAAAGGATTAATGAAAGACAGGACGGTATAAATTAATAGAGAAGAGGGGCCGAGAGAAGGAAAAAGGGAAAACAGAAAAGGAAGATTGTTAGAAAATGGGGACAGATTTTGGAAACCAAAAGGAATGATTAAGAGCTTTCCGCTTCGGCGTGATGCTTGTAGATAGAATGGAAAAGTGACACTGATAAGATCAGCCAGCTGTCTACCACCTAAAAATAAACACACTTCGTTATCACAGCGACGGCAACAACACTCGCTTACTAGAATTTAATGGAGTTTTTTCTCCCTCTCTCCTCCTAAATTTTCAAGAAAAAGGAACATTTAATTGGCTGTCTCAATAGAAGAGCTTAAATGTTATGTCAACATAGATTACAAACAGCTGAGCTGAGATGTGCCCTGAACAGAATAAGAGATGTGAACATTTAGCAGTCTAACATGTGGACAGAGGCGAGGTACCGTAATGGGCAGAATACGTTTCTAGAAAGGAAAGACCCATCAGGGGTTGTTTGTGGAGTTATTCAGCTTTATAGAAGTGTTTGTGGAACTGGTTTTGCTGCCACCGGGGAGATAAATTTAAATCTCTGTACATACTTTCCCCAACAGGACTAATCTGTCTTATATTCGGGCCAATACAGTATTTTTAGTTCAAAACTTTTCTTTGTCTACTTTCGGAAACAGCAAGTGATGTATTTGATGCCTGTGGTGGTTATATTTTCTTTTTCAAGCATATGGTATTTGTTCTGAATTAATGGCTCCATAGAAACAGATATGATGTACATACCGATTATCTCTAGGAAAATTCCAACCAGGGTCCTGTTTTTAATAGTTTACCCCATAATTCCTATTGGTAATAACAATATTGCACTCAAGATGTTAATTGCTTGGATCTGGGAAGGTTGCTATAAAGGTTGGCATAAGTTATCTCTGTCGGACTTCATTATAGTGATGTCACCGTCTTCCCAGATCCCAAAAATCACCTTGTTGCTTACAATCTTATCATAACCGATGGAAGCAATCATAAAACAATTCAAATAAGACTTGTGTCGTAATAAACCCATGACACTTGAGATGACTCACCAATCATATTAAACCCCCCCAAAAAATGGACCCAGATTTATATATAAAGGCACACTCAGACTGAAGTGACAGCTGTCGGCGCTATGCTGGAGTTCACAAGTACCACCCACATGCTAGCTGTGATCCTGACTCCTTTAATGGAAATCTTCTAAACCCCACTGAACATGAACTGAGAATATAATGCAGTGTGTGTGACTGTGCGTGGTGGTACCTTAAGTTCCTCCTCCATCTCAGATATCTTCCTTTCTAGAGCTCTTCTTTCCTGTGGGGCGGAGGAGAGCGGGGTTAACTCAGGACACGCGTTGTCGAGACAATTAGCAGCAAACACGGTTTGGTGCAGGCTATACACACTGCATAAAATAAGGTGTGGAAGACGGTGAGGGTGTAGCGATAGCACACACGCACACACACACACACACACACACACACACACACACACACACTTTGAACACACGCATGTTTTGTGAGGCGTCTGCAAGCAACAGCTGGTTCAGACTTACATATTCAGTGATTTAAAAAGGCAGGAATGAGTCAAGGAATGGGGAGGTAGATGTTTAGAGGTTGTGTTGGATGTTAAATTAATGAAATGACTCATGAACGGGGGGGGGGTCAGAATGTTTTTTTCAACAAAAAAGGACATTCTTGTATTATAAAAAGGCTGGGACGACAAACGGTACATGAAGGATGGTCTTAAATGTGGCTTAAAAATGAATTTTGCAAATCTATGGGGTTATTGGTTTCATGGCTACGCAGCTGAAGACGCCAGCATGATTACGGAATGAGTGAGACAAACCATGAAAACACACACACATGCACAGGTTCTTTCAATAGCAATTGAACAGTCTACAATTGTTATACTTCCTGCATGAGATCAACACGTGTTCACACACACACACACACACAAAAACAAAAACAACAAAATAAGCAGTCTTAAGAAGAGGTGACCACACGCTGCCTCTGAGGTTCAAAAACATGTGAGAGTGAAGGTGGCAGTGTTCTGGGTGGCGAGGAGAGGGAGGAAGTCCCTTTTGACCCCGGCTACAAGGGCATGTGTGACACGACAGCCAGCAGCAGAGAGTAGACTGATACAAAAACTCAGGTTAAGATCATACCACCACCCAGATGATATTGGGGCCTGCTTGTTACCTTCAGACATAAACCCATTGGCAGTGTTACCAACATGTTTAAAGCAGGTTGGATTAAACAAAATAACTGACAGAAGGACGAGTTCTATATTCAGTTTGAGATAAACTTGAGAGAGACAGTAGTTATACATCTTTTCAGTAAAGTTCATGGTGTTACTAAACAAAGAATGTAATAGTTAGAGTTATTAATCTGGTTCTGTCATTACCCTTTTCTCCATCTCAAGCTGTGATCGGTCGGCATAGCGTTCCTGCCTCTGCAATGAGAAAAATAAAAAGATTAGTGGAGTCATAGGGAATCCTATCTCATCTATACTGATCAGCTGAAGAAGTGCGAGTTCAGCATACCTGTGTGGCCTTCTCTAGTTGTAGCTTCAAGTCCGCCAGCTCCAGGTCTGTGTCACGTAACTGGGCCTTCAACTTCTCGTTCTCAGCTAAGATCTGCTCGTAGAGCTGAAGGGAGGGACAAAAATATCAGTCAACAAGTAAATGAAAATGTTGAAAAATGTTGGCTTAAATGTGTCAATTTCTATTTCATTTGGTATTTTCTACAGTTTGGCATGTACTTTTTTGGATTGTACAGTCAAATTATAAGGGGTGATCACACATTAGACTCACTGAATGAGTCAATGAGTCATAACTTCAGCAACACAGCCTTTTAAATAGATTATTTCATACATCATGATGTTATCTTTCTGTGTACAAAAGTCAACGTGCATCATTTGCCAGTCATGGGAATACAACTCCGTGATCAGAAACATATTTATATGAAGACCTGTACGATTAAATCCAGAACCAATAAAAGAAAAAGAGCATTTTATGTGAAGTACACACCTTCTTGTAGTCAGTGGTGTCGTCTCTATCTAGTCGGCTTGAGTATGGCCTCCGACTCTCACCGTAGCCACGGCTAGAATAAGAATCATTGCGATCTGAGGATGAAGTGATCTCATTCCTGCAACAGTAACAACAGGTGTTCATTTAAAATCTAATTGTTTAGCAACAATAAAAAGGGTAATAAAGAAGAAATAACATAATATGAAGGGGGTAAAACATACCTGGACAACCTGTCACTCTGTAATAAAGCAAAAATGAAAGTGAATGTTAATGTCAATAACAAAATAAAGTGCATTTGTAATAAGTTTATACATACAAAAACAAAACTGAATGGCAAACTTTTTTTTACACACACTGTACTACATACAAATACACACTCCTATCCTAAATAGCTGCTTGTCAGCCACAGCAGCGGCCCCTGAGAACGGGGCCAGACATCAGATAGGGAGGTCAGGTTGGAGGGTCGGGCTTCCAGCTATTTTAAAAATTGCAGTCAGCTTCCTGAGCTGAGACAACAATGCCACAATCCGAGTCCTGCAGCCTTCAAAGAAAATTATCAACACGCAGTTCAACTGATTGGCACTATTCAATGCAAGACTGGAGAAAAGAAAAAAAAAATCTCTACCAAACCTGCATTAATGCTTTTACATTTTGGTGCATTTAATTGAGCGTGCCAGACTGGAAAGGGAGAAACTTTTCCATCTCCATGCAGAGAAAATTACTTGTTTCCTATTTAGTGCTCTGTTGCTGCTCCACCCTTTATACTGTCCTACTGTCTCCCTTCCGATTGTACTCAAGTTAACAACTACTGTCTGCTCTCTATGCGGCAAAAGACACTCCCTTTCAAACAGGAAGTTCATCCAGCCAGCAATGTTTTCACTGCCCTTTCTGCCCAATGCTGTGTCGTCCATGGATGGTCAAAATGCATTTAAACTATATTATAAAGCTGATTTATAGTTTTTATTTTTATTTCAGGAACTGGAAGACTTTCTTACATGTTCATTTTCCTTATTACTGGTTGAAACTGTCATTTATGGTGAGTTCATGTGCACAAAAAGCATACACTGAGGGTTGAAAAGTGCTCTTAAATCTTATCTCCAATTTTCTTCGTGTGTGCTTTGACCCCAGTAACCCTAGACTTCCTTTCTTTTGTGTGTCTGCATGTTTTGAAAACTCACTGATCTATTGCTGAGACCACTTTTTGGTTTTGCAAGGTCACCCCAGCAACCAGACAATCACCAGAAGATGGAAATGGGGAGGGGAGGGAGGGACAATAAAAATTCAAAGGCTGCAGAGGGTGAAAAGGAAAGATACGTGGGTGGGGTGGAAATCATAGGAGTACTGGCCAGAGTTGTGAATATCAAAGACTGCTGGACATGCTTTGCCTTGACCTCATGAGATGAGACATGAGGAAGGACCAGAATAGAGAATAAACGCACAAGGGCCAAAATCAAACGGAAGTCATGTCACACAAGAAAAGCAATGAGGCTCCCTTGGTTTTGGCTGGAGGGCTTCTGCTTAAAAGTCAGTTTTATCTACTTTCTGCCGTGTGTGTGTGTGTGTGTGTGTGTGTGTGTGTGTGTGTGTGTGTGTGTGTGTGTGTGTGTGTGTGTGTGTGTGTGTGTGTGTGTGTGTGTGTGTGTGTGTGTGTGTGTGTGTTCGGTTACCTGTGGCTCTCCCTTGGTGCTGCCCTCCTCCGAGTCAGACTGCTGGTCTGGGTCATTTTCATCACCCTGGAATTTTAAAAAAGATATGAGGGTTACACATGACTTGCAGCTTTCTCTATCCAGATGATCAAAGAGGAACATTTATAACCTCCTGCACCTCCTGAGTGGTGCTAAGAATACGTATGGTGTTAAAAAAAATAAAAAAAAGTGATGCCTTACATCTTGGGTCCAGAAGGAGACCCCAGTGGAGCGCCTCTTCTCGCGGGGCCGCCTGCGATCCCGTATGGAGCGGGGCTGAGATTTGTCCTCTCCCTCCTTCTCCTCATCCTTTCTATCTATTTCTGTCCATCGAAAAGAATACCAAAAAGGTTAACTACATATTGCTGTAACAGTATGTGCAATATGACCCTTATTATTTTGACAACAACAGTGTGTAAATGTCCATACAGTAATCCTAACTAAGGGAAAAGAGAAAAAGGTTAAACAAGGCAATGATTTGACTTCACAAGACACAATCAGGACATCAACTTGACTTGGCCTGAGTTCAGAGGGAAGAAAAAAAAAGGCTTTGGTCATGGGAGAACAAAGCGGTGAGTGTTTCCTTCCTTCGGCTGAACAGGCAAAAGCAGCCTTCTATTTTTCCCAGGGATGCTTCATGGATTTATTTGTTAAGAGAAGAGCTACTTAATTTAAAAGGCAACCCAATCCCTTTCTGTCTCAATGCCCCTAATCAGCATGTGGCGGTTTGCCCATGTGAATGTGGACCTGTGGAGACAGATACAAGCATCAGGTGGAATTTAGACATTAGTCATGCATCCACATGCTGTGCTTCCTGTATATGGCTTCATACCAGAGGGGATTAGCATTTAAATTATTTCAGTTTTCAATGTTGTGATAGTTAAGATATCATCTATGTAGTCAATCTAAAACGGATGAATATGTCCAGTCTAGAAAATATTATGATGGCCGTATGGCTGCTGCGGAGGTGTACTATAGGTATTGTGGAGGATACAATTATTCCAGCATGTTTGACTCACTGCTATCTTCAATGCAATCGGCATGGTCAACATTTATTGTACAGTTGGATTGATTTTTTCAGAGCGCCCCTTTTGAATGGTAATGACACCAGGTACTGACCTTTTTCCGTATCTCTGGAGGAACGGCTATAGGATGAGGTGATCCCCGTCAGACTGTTAGGCCTGTTGAGGGAGCTGGAACTGGAGGACAAAATGGTGCTAGAGTAGGACGGGGTGGAGGCAGTGCTGGCTGTCGAAATGGCGGAGGTGGAGGAGGAAGACGAAGGCCGGTAGCGCTGGTAGGGAGACAGAAGACAGGTGAGAGGGACAGTGTAAGTCAAACCCTCAAGGTATGGATTACAGGTGAAGAAACAGAGATCCGTCTTGGGAATGTTGTTACTAAAGCTCGGAACATAAATGTACCTCTTCGAAGCTCCGGTACTTCGATCGGTAATCATCTTCCTTGGTCTCCAACTCCTTCTTCTCTTCCTGCTTCTCCTTGTCCTGCTTTTCCTTCTCCTCCTTCTCCTCCTCCCGGGTCTTTGTGGGACGACTCCTGCCAATTGTTTTCTCAGCTTCTTGCAGGTCAGTCAGAGTCACGCCCTGGAAGAACAGAGTAATACATGATCTCTAGAGTCTCAATTCCATACTCTGATTAATTATTTTGGTTTTATAACCAGAATCTTATTATCAAAAACTCTGCAGTAAAAAGTCAACAGTTTAATTGGTATTTTACAATGTTTCATTTTTAGTGTCAGAGATTTTAGCACAATGCGGTTCAGTCGTTTTTGCAGGAAAAGGACAAAGCTCAAATTCTGTAAGCTCGTAAAATGATCAGCCGTTTGTACAGGCCCGGACTTTAAGTGCTGTCTGTGTACAGTAACTGCTGTCTCAACCAGGATAATAACATTTATTTCAACAGACTATGGCTATAAAACCATAATGCAAGCCAGAGGCTGCCTACATGTCACCATTTATTAACATTTTATTTTGATGGGGAATCCACTGTCATTTTAATTGCTGGTAAAAAAAAGTGGGACTTTTTTGGTATAATGGAGGGATAAATCAATTGTCAACATTTAAAAAAGGTTAACTAACCTGAGTGGACCTCCTTGACTGTCGAGCCTGCCTGGAGCGAGCTTTCCTTTGGGACTCTGACTCTTCGTCTCGCACTGGCGTCAGGTATGACCTGACACACACAAAGACACAAACACACACAGACGGTTAATAATCTGTCAATAGAGCCATACTAAACTCTATAATTAGATGACTGTTGGGATGGGGAAACTGGCACGATAGGTAATTGTCATCATTGTGTATGGTAGTAGGGTGCCTTAAGGTTACATGAGATGGCTTGTGATCAGAAGGATGGCTGTTGTAATTTACAGACTAGCTGGGAAAGTGAAAATAAGTCTCTCCACTCACACAGTAAATACTGTACAGCACCATCAGTGGAGCTGCTTAGTGGCCAAAACTAACAGTAAGACTGCTAATGGACTATGCAGCTCCAGGTGCACATTTGTGGAATGATATGAATTTGAAACAGCTATTTATGTCAAAAAATGTTGTTGGAAGAGTATTTCCTGTAATGAAGATGTATTTGAAGCAGAATGTTCCTGGAAAATAGGAAACCTACCCGGACTCTATTTTCCTATGTTTTTTTTGGTCCAAATCCAGATTGAAAATTACCAAAGTTTTCCCTTTAACTAAGATAAAGCTTACTTAAAACCTACTTTAAGTTACTGTGATAAAACATGACTCAAATCTCTGTGTTTAGCCTTTTGCTACAACAGTATCAGGGTCAACAGGCAGGCAGTTTGGGATATAAAACAGTGAGCTATTCTGGCTCTTTCTCTCAGTTTGGAGCATGCCTCTGTTGGCCACACAAAAGTATGAACTCATTCAGTGCAGAGTGGAGTCTTGGCCTTGAGGAAAATGTGCAGCTTCTGCCCACTTTCCTTATAAGGAGAAGTCGCTGGAGCAATCCAGGCTCTGAAACAGGCCTGCCCCACTCCCACCATGACAGGTGGCTTATTTCAGCACTGCAACAGGAAGACATGCACTCCACCCCACTCAAACACACGCGTGCAAACGCACGCTCTCTGTGAGACACACTGACATGCTAGTCAGACTCAGACACTACTCTCTCTTCCCCTCCACACTGTGTGTACACACACACCCCGTTCTCAAACAGAGGAAATGCATCCGGATTACTGTTTGACTGAAGGAAGCTTTTAAGGTTAATTCCAATATTTCTGGAAGCTGCTTACAGTAAATGTTTTGTTCAACTATCCAAGCTATTTGAACTTGAAAAAGTCATGAATATACATAAACAAATATAATAATAAATTAGTATTTAAAATGTTATCTTGCTTTACTTAGTCTAATCCCCAGGGATTTTAACTCATGTCAAGATAAATAACAAAACAAAACACCATGGGACAGTGACAGTCTCCACTAAACCCAAAATAACAACAGCAATTAACAAGATCTGAACTTCAAACTGTACATAATCAAACAAAATGCATCATAATCCATCATCTATAAGGCTAATAATAATCTGACAATTTCCCACATCTAATAAAATCCAGATGATATGAATCAATTGTCCCATCTAAGTGCTTCAAATTCAATTCATTATTACATCATTTGAATTCTTAAACTACTCTGAACTGATTACTGTACGCGACTAAACAACAATGTGTGTTTTCAGGCATAAAGATAATTTGCAACATGAGACAAGAAATAAACTGACATACTGTTTCACATATAAAAGGACATGCATGAGTTATGTAGGTAAAAAGGTGTGTGTTTGTGTTACCTGCGTCTTTCAGAGCCAGTGACAGTGCCAGTGGTGGTGGTAGTGGTAGATATGCCGGTGGTGGTAGTGGTAGATGTGGTGGTCGTAGTAGAGCCAGTGTTTATAGTGGGGATGACCGCAGCAGATTCCTTCTCCTTCTCCTTCTCCCTCTCTGCACTCTCCTCTGACCAGTACCTGTTTACACACCAGCATTTTATAAGAAACCTACTTAGCCTCACAGATTCCATTTCAACAACTTTTATTAAAAAACTAAACATTTGTGGTTGTAGAAGGCTTCGAGCAAGTAGCTGAAAGCAACCGTGATGATGGTGATGGTGGTGGTGGAGTTTGGCGTGTTCCAACTTGTTGGACCACTTGGACACTTCATGTAGGCTACAGTGAATTCATGTCGTTTTTGCTGGATTGCATTCAAACTGACAGCTGCTGGATGAAAACATCCTTGGTAAGTTGTTTAATATTCTTTATTCGTGAAGACAGGCCTGTTATACTATATACTGGCTTTCTGTCCTTTGAAAAAAAAGAAGTGCGTTTGTGGTTGCTTGTGTCATTGACCGTGTCATAGTTATAGCAGGACACGCATTGCTTGTAGACTTGTAGCCTAATTTGTTGTCGTGTGGGTTAATTATGCGACTTTAGCTAAATGAATAAAAATGAACTGAATATAGCTACTGCTGAATGCCGACAGTTTAGTCACAAGTTTGAGGTTTAAATATCAGCAGGTCGCTGTTCAATGATAAACCATTTACACTATCAGTCCTGTTCATGTACCTGCTGGTGAGACTGGTGGAGCCAGTGCGGGTGGAGGAGGAGCCCAGGCTGGAGAGCAGGCCGCGATGGCCTGTGGGCGAGGTAACAGATGAGGAGGTGGTGGTGGTCGTGGAGGAGGTGGTCGAGGAACTCAAGTCCTCGTTCCTTCTGCTGAAAGAGCCGCTGGAGGACAAAATGTCAGACACAAACAAAGCAGAGTCACCAGTGAGAAAAAGCGGAATACTAATGTAATCACGGATATAATGCTGGTCGCCACAGTCTAGTTATTTGCATCCGATTATTAACTGATAATATATAAAATATTTCTGCATCATATATCCGCATTGTGATGGCATTATTAGTTGCAGAGGTTTAAAACATTGTTTGACAGTCAGTTTGAGTAGTAGTCTTAGTAATGATGGCGCTGCATGAACTATAAAGAAAAAGGTCAATCACACCTATGCTACATAGGTTTAATACATTAATAGTGAAGCCCTCTACAGGAAACTGAGGTGATATTAATATGTGAAAATAACTCAACCTGTCCTTGTGAAATGAGAGAATGGATCAATATATTTTCTTGCAAAGGCCATGGTCATTCCAGGAAGGGATTGCAGTTTTAATACTGCAGTTTCAGTGAAAATTTAGCTGAACATACTTTTATTGATGGTACTGCAGTGTCACAGTATCACTCGATGACATCAGTATTAATGTTCTGTCCAAAATTAAACAGCATTCTGCACTTACTGGGCGTCTTCGGAAAACATTTCAATATTCATTTGCTCATTAAACGTAACCAGAAGAACTCAAAACTTAGGTAGGCACTTCAGCAGCGCAGACACACGCGGTCAGAGAGGACAGGTGGGTGTAGAGACGGTGGTGCCCCGGTGAGGCTGGTGTACCTGCGGTAAATGCTGTAAGACTGGTAGTGGGAGGTGGGTGGCTGCCAGGGTTTAGTATTACAGGTGTTAGGGTCCAAGCTGGAGGTGGACGAAGACTTGGCTGGCACGTCCCGCGTGCTGCCGCTCCGCCCTAGTGCTAGCGTATGGGACGTGCTGGCGTGTTGGCAGGCGGGTGGGCGAGAGAGGCATATTAGCGGTGAAGGCGCACACACACACATATATACACACACACACACACACAGATATAGTATAAGAAACATACATATTTAAGACTATTAAGCTTTGCACACTATTGGTGCACTCATGTCATATGGGGATAGTTGTTGACTGGACAATTGAAAGCAACAACAGAGAAGTTGTCGTGCCATAAATCAAAATTTGTCTTCACTGAAATCACTTGTTCACTCAGCCTGCACAGTGACACATTGAAATGTATTAAATTTAGTTTGTTTCAAATTTTCTACACTTGATTCAAGGATGTCTTGGTTGGTTACATTAAAATTCAGGAACTACAAAGTTCCCAAGTAGCTTTTACAACTTAAAAAATAGGGTCATTTATGAAGACGGCTTGTATGCAGCATTTCCCCCCATATGACAAGCTTGCAGCATAAGTCCAAGCCTAGGTTTTGTGCCATGAACAACTCTGGGAATTTGATTTATCTGGGAGTCAAACAGGTATATAGGCTTGTTAAAATGTTTGAGTAATGCATTGCAAACTCAGTGGCACAGTAACCTGACTGGACAGGTACAGTCATGCAACAGACTCTGCAGTGATAAGAGAAAGGCGTTGGGCTGATTTGCATTGCTTTCTCAGTAGCTGCTGCTGTGCATGGAAGCATGTACATACATATCTCTGATGACATAATCCAAGCAGAAATGAACAGCAGATGATTGATAAAGAGCTATCAATACTAGCTACACAGTGGTTTTAGTTCCAAAGCTATGCAAGTCAACCTCATAATGGAATAAAATACATCAGATCAGATGGAACAGATGTCTGATGATGAGATGAGGGATGGAAGATTTGTATCGCGGCAGAAGCTAACCTGCGCTGGTAGCTGGGGGTTCGGTTGGTGGAGGCGCTTCCTTCACTGTTCTTCAGGTCGTCGTCCCAGCGTCGCCGGGTGTATGAGCCACTACGTATCAGAGCAGTAGAGTCCCTGGGGAACCACAAGCTACAATAGTACCCCAGGCAAACAGATACCGACGTAGATATGTGCCAATACAAATCTTTCCCCATTAAACCCAAGTCTACCCACTATGAAATCTATCCTTTTTCTAGAAAGTTTGAAGTCTACCAAATTCATTGCTGCACAACACAACCTAACCAAAGGCAGTTTCTTAAGGCCAAACACACCATGCAGAGCATTGAGGCCTTTTGCCTGCAACACACAGCAGTGGGCAGCAGGAGCCGCTCGTGCCAATGCATGTTTTTCATAGAGCAACTTGGTGCCAGGGCTTCACCTGTTTTCCTTCTCGTCAATGTCTGAAGTACTGGCCAGTCTCCTGGGGATGGTGGGGGCCACATAGGCAAGCCGGGTCCCTTTATCCTTTTCCTGTAGAAATATTTAAGTCTTAATTGAGCTCTTACAAAGACTCAGGAGTTCATGATAGCATCAGGCCTAAGGAGAACATACATACATACAGACAGACAGTTGCCATCTCCACAAAAAGCTTTTCAATATATTAAAATAAAGGATGTGACTATGCGACTGTTGACCTTCTCTTTGTCTTTGTTGTCCAGGGAAGAGGAGAGGCGAGGGCTCGAGGCTGAACGCATCACACCAGTTGTGTCCTTCTCCCTCTGAGCCTCCTTGGCGGCTGTGATCTCAGCTAGTGCCCCATAGCTGCCCGTCTTCCTCAAACCCAGCCGCCACGACGCTGGAGACTCGTCCTTCCTCTCCTCCTCTACTTTAGTCGAGACCTTTCCAGCAGGCTGAATGGCCTGAGAGGGAGGAAGGGGGTATTGGTTTAGTGTACAAAGTTAACCATTTAAACATATAAACTAAAGATTTTAAATGTTTTTTTTTTTTTTTTTTAGTAATCTTGGTGAGTAACATGAATATCAGGTTTGGATTAATCTCCAGGGGCTGCAGTTCTCACATTTAAATGATGAGACCATAAGAGGACATTTTTAAGGAAGGGCATGCCAGTTAAGAGGTACGATCACATCCACTTCTACAACTACAGGGCCAAATTCATTCCAGAGTAAATACGATAATTATGTAACGCTCTTCTACAGTAGGAGGTGAATCTGTTGTGATTTTAGGGTCCAACTGATTTTTAAAGGTCAGGCCACAAATACACTATTAATACAAACCACCAAAAGATGACAAGCAACCAAACATAACACAGAAGCCACACAGACACACGGTGAAAGCACGATCTAAAGAGTGCATTTGTTTATTACAAGTGAAAACAACACCATTTAGGGTTGATGAGTGAAAGTCAGCGATAGGGAGGTTCAATCAGCATCACCTTGATTGGGCCAGGGTGGTTGCAGGGGGAGGTGTTAAGTACTTTGCAGTGCACAGGTGCATGTAGGATGAGAGAACAACTCTTGGTGCACACAAATGCCTCACCATAGGTTTTTTGGGCACTAGAGAAATGCCAGTTTTGCGCAAGCCTTGACGCCACAATGCAGGACAGCCTGGCTCCGCCACAGGCATGAGGGGAGTAATACAATCAAACTAAAGCCAACCAAGACAAGAGCCCAGGATGAGAAAGACGCAGAGGGAGGCAGGGCAGGGAGGAGGACAGAGAGGTTGAGACAGAGAAAAGGCCAGAATAAGACAGAAGCAGCAGCAAAAGAAACACACTTTATGGCAAGGACAGATTTATTTTTTTTAAAGGCCTAGTCACACCACACAATGCTTACTGCCAAACCAGGGGGGGGACTACCATTGTTGTTCTCAGTTGGAATACGTGACAGATCCAACAAACATTTGGTAGTGTAAAAACTGGACATTGTTAATGCTTTGCTCACTCTTGTTAGACAGAAGACATTGTGATGTGTGAGCACTAGGCTTCAAAGAAGGACTGGAACAAGAAGATCATTGCAAGAAAAGAAGCAGGAAAAAAGAGAAACATTCAGTCTTGCATAGGTGGCCACTGGTGCAGGACATCGACTAAAGGGTGTACGCTATAAAAAGATACGCTCCTATTTAGGCCGCATTCAGGAGTGTGAAATGATGATGCAGTGTGTAGGTGGTGTCTAATAGCACAGACTTAACAGAATGAGCGTCACAGCTGTTATTAAGGGATTTAAATTTAACTTCTATGTATATACCATTTCAACGCTGGCCACACAAAATAGTTGAAAATACCTTTCAAACAGTATTTGTTAAAACCAGTGGATGGAGGGAAGCAGACATGACCTTGGAAAAATGTACCAGGTTTACTTTAGTTAAATGCTTGGCCTCATTTTGCCAGCAGAGGGCAGCAGACTCAAAAGTGGGAACTCCCATGAAAGCCCTCGTTTTATTCTTAACCAAACCAATCCACTTCTCTATACACTCCAGCCCCCAGCCTCCTGGCACTCGCATAGTAAACCATTAACATTATCCAGAATTGGCCGTCAATCATCCCCACTGTGCACCCAGTTGTCACGTTTGTTTAACGCCACCGTAAATTAGTTGTAACTGTCATTCTCAGGGCCTCTTTGACATTTGTTAGCTAATGTGCTCACTGTACTTCAACATGAAGAGCGAACCACAACCAGGAACAACAATTTCTGCGAAGGCCTGGAGTGTGAACTGCAAACTCATTTATGCAAAACCCCCAGTATCTTCAGCGGGCTGTGAAATTAGGTTTAAGTGGGAGAAAAACTAAATAGATGATAAATTTTATTGATTTGTTTACATAATGAGGCACCAACAAGTCTCAGAACAAAGTTGAACTGACTTTATGTAACAGAGGAGGTGTAGTTACTCCCTCAAACGCTTTGAGGGTAAATAGTGACATGATTGCATCATGGCTGTGCTGCAGCATTTAATTTCCTTCCTAAGGCCTTTTAAGACCAATCAACTCCTAATTTGAGCGTCTGTTTTGAAGTTTTTAATGCCCGTACTGTGGCAGCTGTTCAAGCAGGGTAGGACAACAAATACTTGTCCACCAGGTCGTACCTTCTTTACCGGTGAAGTGGGGGTTGTCACCTGGTTAGTTGGGCTTGTTGGCGGTGACACGGTGATGGTGGATGGGGTAGGCGTTGTGCTGTTGCTCACCGATGCTGAGGGTTTGCTCTTGTCTGGAGGGGTCGTGAAGAAAAAGAAGTGTTAGCTGTTTGAGTCAACATACAATAATTAAGAAAAACAATACATAAATACATAGAAAACAAGTATTTTATGTGGTGACTGCCACGTAACGGGAGACAGAGTGACCCATGTTGTTAATTAAATTCTATTTGAGAAATTTTACTGACAACCATTAAATGTTTTTGGTTCAGATTTACTGATACCACACAAGTCTAAAATAAGTCACACACACACACACACACACAAATCCACAGCACCTGCTTCAGTCTCCGACTCTGAATCCTCGTCCTCCTCTTCCTCACTGGAGCAGCTTGATTCGTCCTTCTTCCCCTCCTCTTCTTCATCCACCTTCTCCGGTTCTAAGGTCTCGATGCGTGGGACAGTCTTTTCTGGCTCTAGAAGCAGCGTTTCTTTGCTGCAACACACAAATTTAGTACAAGTTAGTACGGAGCTACGGCATCAGTGTAGTACAGTATTTTCAACTGTGAGGGAGAATACAAGCCAAAGTCACAAAAAGGTACAAACTAAGATATTCAAACCAAAAAAGAAGTTTAAAGACAGCTTCCATTTATTATTTTTCCACCATGGAGCCATTTACCTCTTGAGTGGTTTCAGTGATTGGTTGTTGTCCCCAGTGGTTGTCGTTTCAATCAAAGGAGATTTCTTAACATCTTTCTTGTCACTCATCAGCTGGAATAAAGAAAACAAAATTCAGCTATTCTAACAAGGGGAAAGGACAGCAAGGCACACAATCTATCTAGTAAAAATGAGATTCACACATTTTCACTCAATCACAGGCGTCCACAGTTATTTTACAGAACTCATTCAAAGCTGTTTTGTGCAGATTTGGGTCCCTTTACAGTTAGAAGCCACACTGACTCACCAGATTTTGTTTCTTTTGTAGTTCTTCTAAGTATCCCAGAACATCTTCGTCTGCTACATCAAAAGCTGTCTGGCCCTGAAAGAGAGAAATAAAATAAAATTTAGCTAAACTATGGACTGCGCAGCACATAAAGACAGGACTCGTGACAGTTCCAGTTACTCACCATTTTATTAATGAGGTCCATGTCACATAGATTATCCACCAGTATCCTACATGCCTCCTCTTTGCCCCAATGTGCTGCTGCATGTAGAGGAGTCCAACCATCATAGTCCTTAATATTTACATCATACCCTGCCTGGATTAAAAGCCTGCACAATGAGGGTGGGGGGAGAGAGAGGAAACAAAAAAACAGTTTTCCTTAGAATTAGAAAATCTCAGATTTGATTCAAACTAATCTCTCAAAGTGATGCCACGATACAGGCTTTTAAAAATGCGTCAGCATTGTAACCCCAGGTCAGATTTATGAGATACAGAGTCCGCCCCACATGGACACGTAATCTTTAAGAGCAAAATGAGGTTAGGACATTTTTTAAACTCTAATATTTCAGCCCATAACTCTGCCCTGACATGCAAAAACATTTAGATCCCTGTCTTGTATATGGTAGTCGCACTAAACATCAGAGATGTTAGAGCTATCTATGGCAGTAAAGTGTACTGGCTGGCTTCCCAGACCAGATGGACAGGCTGCTGCAGTTCCTATCCTCCAGCAGCGTAGCCGTATTAACAGCCTAGAGAGACAATGTCGGAACAACAAATTGACAAGATGCAGAGACCAAGATATGTTTGGCATTAGCAAAGACAAAAAACTGCAAGGCCTCACCACTGTCTTGACTATAAACAGTATTTATATAATGTAACATACAAGAAAGACGTTAAGTAACAAGCAGTAAAATAGTGGGTGATTACATTTTTGTCCCGAAATGGAAAGACATCAAGTTTACACTCCATCTATAACCTGTGAAATCAAAACCGCTGCTTACTTTAAAACCTCAACATATCCCTTCGCAGCAGCTACATGGAGTGACGTTCCTCCAGACTTGGCATGCCGGACGTCTTGGATCTGGCCGCTGTTGAGCCACTGCCGGGCGTCCCTCAGCATGACCCGCTCCTCCTCTTTCCGGGCTGCCTCGATATCCACCCCTGGTGAGTGACAGAGGAGACTGATACTGTAAAAGTGCCACTGAAGGATTACCTGCTACTTAGGAACAAGCTGCCAGCTGTAACGCTGAACCCAGAGAATGGAAGAGGGAGAATGAGGCACAATTGCATCGAGGTACTTATTATGAGTTCCACAGTACTTATCTTACATCTAGAGAAAGGTATGTAAATGTTTGAAATACATTAGTTTGCGACTATGGATTACAATAGAGGGAACAGAAATATTTCAATACATAGCCATGAGATACATCTTTCCATATTTAAACAGTACTGTGATAATGCAACAATAATGACAGCTGTGACAAGTCAGTGCTACCCACACAATATAACATTATTCTGACAACCTCTCTAAACACTAGAGGGTGTTGTAAAGCAAAACAGTTTTGTACCAATTTTCTGGCAATTTGACAATAAAATAATGGCTGCAAACATACAGGCCTCAGCCGGTTTAAGTGGGTCAATATGTCTAAGCTATAAGCTGCATGCGCTGCAGAAGTGAAAACAGGCCTTTATTGTCTTGTTGACACCTGGTTGGAACACGAGACGGTCTTAAATGCGCTGGTGCACGAGTCGTTGACTCGTCAGCTGAGCCTTAACTGTGTTGAACTACATAAACAGTGATTCAAGATGTGCTCTGTGGTAAGAGCCAAAACTTCCGCTGATCGTATAGGTTTTTGTTCTATTCCCAAGGATACATCATCACTCTTTTCCTGGCACACAGAAAGCTTTAACATTGCCTCAAGCTTTTCAACCAAGGAAAGAGGACATCTATGTCTGCAAGTTTAACTTTAGCCAGAGGTTTAGCCACTGCTAGCTGAAGAGGAGCAAGGGAGATCCGTTAAGACAAAGAGACTTGATTCCACAACACAGTCACTAAGACGCGTGCTATAAGCCTTCCGCGCTTTCAAATTTTTAAAATTGGTCTACAAACCTAAAACATTATTGAAAATCCATCCGCCTTCCGACACACACATCACAGGCTTAAATTGAGCAAGGCAACAATAATATTTTGGCTTGTTTAAAACTGGACATGTTCCTCATTAAGAGGATTTGTGACCTGAGATTTAAGAAAGTGAAACCAAATGGGAAGAAGATGACTCAGTGACTGAGTTTATGTTTGACTGGATTTCAAGTTTCGTTTCAAACCAAGTGCCTTTGGGCCTGGACCAGTGTTTCACTATGGTTGGCTGTTATGTAAAATCCAACCCAACCTGACAGTGCACATACCCTACAGAGGAAAATTAACCTAAACTTCCTTAGGGTTATTCAGTTAATGTAGGCAATGGGAGCTGGCCAGGTAGGGCAATGTCCCATGGTCTCTTGGGAGGTAGCCCACACTGTGTCTATAAAAAGAAGGGAGCATAATGGCCTCTAAGTAGGACTACAGAACAAGAACCGAGTGGAAGAATTGGCAGCAGTTCAAAGTTGAGGTTTTTTTTTTTACAAGAGAACAGCACATCTTCTGAGCATTGAGTAGATAAAGAGAAAATCCAATAGACCAAACAAGGACTTGCCTCCCCCATCACCTCACTGACAATATACCTACAATATCTCTGGTAAAGCCATAATGAAGCATCTAAAGAAACATACCCTGAAGCAACCACCAGGAGTCATTCGCTTTTTAGAAAAGTCAAATGAAAATAACCCCCCAGTCCCCTAAGCACCAGGGACAGAGTGTAAGTTAGAAACATTTGTGAGATTGTTCACCTTCGGTCTGTTACAAGGACAGGCAGCAGCCCTCATGAGGCAGCTGATGGAGGAGGGAAGGAGGGTGTCGGGGCTGTCCAGTCACTTGACCCACTCAGGGTCAGGGAGAGGAGCTAGAGGTTGTCCCTGCCAAGGGGAAACCATGGCCACTTGCTAACAAGTTTAACCCCATGACTGGTATCTCTTTGAGGGGAGAAAATCACATTACAAACATACAGAAGCGTTACACAACAACTCGTTGCATAATGCTGCCTGCTACCTCTAGCACAGAGAACTGAACTGTGGATTGTCTGCAGCTGCCCGGAGCCCAGGATCACTGCAAATTCACTCTTCAGCTGAGTTTTATCTCAAAAGCATTTTTATGCAAGTCTGCATTAATGAATACATAAATACAGCTCAAACTTACATACATAATGTCCACATAATGACAAAGTGTTCAGTAGTTTCACTCTGTGAAGTCTATGAGCATGGTAAATGAAGATGCACATTTGGTTTTGCGTCCATTAGTGATGGATCTTAGAATTGGCAGCTTGCGAATGCTCAACCAGGCAGCAGCACATCTATCAGGCCTCCGCAAATCAAAGATGACAGCTGCCGCTGGCCGAGATGCTTGAGGTTCGGGTGGGTGAATGTCTCGCCGCTGTTATATAACACAGTTAAGGAGCGTAACACGCAAACAGCACTCTGGGTGTAATTATCAATGGATGCCATGTGCTTTCAAAACACTTGGACCTCGACTTAAAGCAATGTCGACAGATTGACACCTACACATGCAGTATTCTACATGCATCTCCTGACCCTGAGGACAAGTCTATCATATATGTTTCTAATGGGGCTGCTGTTATATCAACAAGTCTTACATGATTGGCAACATGTGCAAGACTTGTATTTCACACGCTCCTGTAAACTATCAATGGCCATGTCTGTAAGCATTTCTCTCTGCATGCAAACAACACATGTAGTAAAATGTGAGAATGTAAAGCTTGCTTTAGAAAATGGCAAATGGTGCCACGGAGAAGGGAAAGCCAGCCAACCTTTATTAGTGAATATGAGCCAAGGAGCACCCCCCTGGCCCGGGGCCAGTTAACACGTCTGTGCGTGGCCTCTCACCATAGGGGAGGGCCTTTCATCATCTCAAGAATGCCCCAGCCAAAAATAGAAGACTCGACTTTTCAGTTTTGAATCATCACATGAGTGCTCACAACACAGCTGGATCACTTTTCTACATTATGTAAGTTTTCTTCAAGCGAGCAAGTGAACAACAGCAAGTAACCGACACTCAATGAGAACTCCGATTCTATTTGACAACATAGTCATACATGCATGAAATACACGTGGGACCCCTGCCAGTGATGCTTCCATTAACATGCTTAACCCATCAGGATTGTTTCTAGATATGACTAAGCTCAATTACAGGGTAACACTTGGCCACATTACTATGCCCTTTTTTGCTGCAACTAACAAATATTTTCCATCATACATTAATCTGTTGATCATTTCCTCAATTAATTAATTAGGTGTTTGGTCTATAAAATGTCATAAAATGGTAAAAAAAAAAAAAAAAAAAAAAAAAACGTCAATCACTGTTTCCCAATGCCCAAGGTGACATAAACAAATGTCTTGTTTTGCCCCACAACCCAAAGATATTCAGTTTAAAAGAAATCTCTCTAATCTTAAATACTTTATTTAAATAGATATTTTTAATCTTATATTCGGTTTTAGGGTGACTTTACAACATCAGTCCAGGAATAACTAATAACGCTAGCACAGATACAGCAATGTTTATTAATGAGCACTGTGCCTGTTTAATAACACAACACATAAAGCAGAGTGCCCGTTTCATATTTAGATCTCCCAGATATTGGCATCAACAAAGAAATCCAGCATTTGTCGGTCTCCACTACTTTTTCCCCCTCATTAAAATTACGTACCCTTTTGGCAGAGGCTATAGTAGCTACAGTACATTACCGTTAAATTGACTTGAGACACTTACACAGTTATACTTTTATGAGGGTTGCGTTGGGAGAGAAGGATGACCTTGTGATGCAATATGGACTGGACAGTAGAGTTCAAGATGTGTGTAATACTGTACCTTGTCGGTTGATCTCATTCTGTAGGAGCTCCTCCATTGCCTCCTCTTCAGCAATGTCCAGAGGCGTCTCACCTTCACTGTTCACAACTCCTACACTGGCACCCTGGCTGATGAGATACCTGCAACAGCACACACAAGACTTTTAGGTCCGAGCCACAGATAGATCTCTATGAAAAATTGTCCAGAGTGGTATTATTCTGAAATGCTTTACTTGATTTTAGCACTGAAAAGTGTGAAGTCAAACTCTAGGCTTTGACAGGAGGTAAAGGCAACTGTTACTTCCTTTTAACTGATAAACAGGTGAGGGACAGAAGCTCTGTAGTGCTGCTTTTGATTAAGTGCCAAAATTGGTTGACAACACATCTTCCAGACACCTCTAGACCAAATTACATACGTTGAACAATTACACTGATTACATGAATTACATGAATTAAATGAATTAAGCAATAATTCAATGCATACTTATCAGTTGCAAAATCTTAAAACTTGTTGCCATCTTATCCTTTGCTTTGATATACAGAGACGTGCGTACGCTCATAATGCAAAAGCCTTTTTACTGCCGTTCAGCCCAAACTATGTGACAAAGTTAAATAACCAGGGTAAATGTTGAAATACGTAAGATGCTAATGGCATAAGTGGTGAAAACTCTGGGCACCCAAGTCACACAATGCATTTAAATGACAGAGGGTCTTCTTCAGGTTGTGCAAACAGAGTGAATATGCCACACCTACATAATAAAGAAAAAGAGGCATCTGGACAAGGAGTGGCACAAATCCAGACAGGTGTTTGGCATGGGTGTTTACTACTCTCCATGGTTTAACACTATACTACTGTCCACTTCATCTTACTGTACATAACTGCAACGACAGATGCAATTGAAGCAAGATATGCATTTGAGTGAAACATTTTACAGTTGAAAAACAAACTCATCAGTACTCTCAGTACTAAACAAAAAAGACCAAAAATCTAATGGCTAAGCTTAGAGTAGAAAAAGTTCATTAATAGGTCGTCTGATAAAACCCTAACAGCTGTGAGTATTCTATAAATATGCACGAATGCTGAGGATAACAGTAACACTTGTGGTGGCTTTTATATCGTACACACAACGCAGATTTATTTATTTTTGTTCCTTTTGGAGGAAAGAATCTCAATTTGACAAGTTGAGGATTGAACACACTGCTTAGTCTAGATTTCCATAGAAGATATAATTTAAACTGAATAAATATGAAAACTCTGAACAGTCATCACCTAAAAGCATGAAAAACCCAGAGTTCAACCATAAAATGCTCTATAAATATAGACAACCAAAATATGCATTTAACGCGGTATCCAAGGCAACGTAGTGAATTAACCCTTTATATCTTTGTCTCCCACCAGCAGAGATTCAAGACCTTTTTAACCATTCAACATCTTGACTTCAGCTGGTTCCAATTAAAGCTGCGGTGAGACAGGCCCTTCTCATTAGGCCAACGCACCACTTGAAAGGGGCTCAGCGCTTATGACTTCCCCCCCAAAATGGCAACTGACTGACTGCAGTTAGATTTCAAAGTTTTATATCTTCTTGATTGGACTTTCTATTCTGCCTAGTTTGATGGCTTTGTGGTCTGGAGTCCCACTGTGGGATTCTTAACCAACCCTACCATTAGACGGCTGTGGTGACACCCAGGGACTTAGAGATACAGTCCTGCTTTGGAGTTCCCGTTACTGTGAATGAGGATGCTGGAATTAAAATGGGTCTACTGAGAGCTCACCACCCACATCAGGTTGCCGAGTTTCTCTCTATGACATGATGTCTCCATTAGTCACACATATCAGGCCGACCACTTGACCTTTTCATTCATTATGTGACAACAAGAAACTTCTTGTTTTCTGTAATACTAGGCCACTGCTGGTGATGTGTTCATCGGGGTCTACTGGACACAGACTTGCTGGGTCTAAGGAGTTGACAACAGTTAAAAATTGTGACACTTTTAATGAAGCGGCTAATTTTCTCCACATTTCTGTTCAAAAAGGCTATTACATTACAACTTTATTACCATGCATACATTTGCCTGGCAATTAATTTGTACATAAGCCACGTGTTCATCTTTCTACGACCAGCTGCACTTTTTGGGAAAACATCAATAGTGGGGATAAATCTGTAGCCAGGTTCCTGTAATGTAACACAGAAGTAAAGGAGGTCACAGCACACTCCCAATATGCTGAACAATGAGTACAACTGAGCTCCTTCAGCCCCCTTTAGCCTGTTTAAATATCCTCCGATAACATCTCTGTGTTGTGTTCTGTGCCCTATGAGCGGTCTTTCTTACCTGAAAAGGACTAGCGGCAAGAAAATACTAGACTGCAACTCTAGAGCTCGATTCCAGATATAGTGGCTGACAAAGATCTCTCCGTATTTGATTACATCACTCTAACAATGTGTGTCTGCGCTATCAGATGGGCTTCAGCGCCTGTCAAAATATTACAAAAAAAAAACTGCTTGCTACTGAAAATGATGGCTCTTTACATGTTGATTCTGGCATGCTAGCTGATATGGCACCATGGGCATTTCTACAGCAAACATACATCAATTGGCAGGCATTGAAGGTGGCAGACAGATTCCAAGGAACTATATTTTACGGAGCGAAAATGTATCATAGCACTGCACTAGGCCATACGATGTAGACATCAATCTTGCTAGCACCAATAAAAAGACAGAGGTCACTACTGTGTGTGTGTGGGGGCTCAGAGAAGTGACAGGACAGTGCAGACCTCAGCTGTAGCCCAGCCGTGTAAGCCCTGATGTCAATTTGTGCGTGGCAATCAAAATTAAATTGTGTAGTACCAGCTGGACCTTTATACAGGAATATTTCTGAGAAATGGCTAGATACGAAACAGGATGTGTAAAGGATGAGTTTGCAGAAATCAAACCCGATGAAACAGATACTGCTTCTTGGAAACTGAATAAACCGTTTTGTAAACTGGCCTCTCGGTACTTACTCTGCTATGTCTAGGTATCCGCAGGAGGCTGCAGCATGGAGGGGGATCCAGCCCTCGTTGTCGGGCTGGTTGATGCCGGCTCCATGCTCCACCAGGAATGTCACCATGTCAACATTGTCATCTATGCATGCCTGAGAGAGAGGAGAAAAAGAAAGAAGGGGAGTAAGTAACAAGGAGTGTGACCTGCTTTGTGTGTCTATGTGTGGTCATGTACATGCACATGCACATGTGCTCATGAACTTATGTCAGTGGGATGGCCTGTGCTATAGTTACAAACGGCCTGCATGGAAAGAGCATTGCACTGCGTCTGATAGACTGCCACGTGCTTCCAGAATTGTTGGGGAATTTTGGCAGCCGCAGCGTTCCCAAAATGCCTGCACATAGCAGGGGTGCTTGAAATACCACATAGCATAGTACTGCTGATGGAGGCATTGGAGGTCCTGTGCCTATATGCTGCTACTTTATGCAAAAAGTAAGGTAATTAATTTAAAAAACACTTTTGCTTAAAAAGTCGGCTTTGCACTTTAGCCAAATATTTTCTCAAGTGTCATAAATCAAACCACTGAAATAACCGCGCGCACACACACCATACGTTCTCCTCTTACACTGAGCAGCTGATGAATCACTCGATTAAATCCACATCTGTGGTCGAGCAAAAGTTAAACAGCTTTATTTGCCAGCACATTTTGCACCCAGAGTTTGCCTTCTTTGCTTAAAATCAATCCTAATCATTAGGAACTGTGCCATTCTCTGGTGCTGGGGACAAGCATGTAACACATCTAAAGCCAGTCTCTTGGTTGAGGACAGGAGGATGTCCCCGACAGACATGTCATTCAGCGTGGGAGGAAACTGGAGTGCTTTAAAGAAGACCTGAATACAAGTAAAACCAATAAAACTCCACACAACAGCTTTCAGGGGTAGGTGGCAAAGCGAATTTCATACAGCATGATTTCCAGTATTTTCTATATTTTCGGTCACTGCATACAGTCAGAAGGAAACTAGCAGACCACCCACAAAATATCATGCATGATAATGACTAGCACATCCCATTGTCACTGTGACTGACTGTCACCGTAGGAGATCAGAAGCAGACAACAAAGTGGGTGCTTAGCATGCACCAGCCTAATTTTCTTCACAGCACAGATGTTACATAACCATTTTCTGAAACCCCCAGTGCAGCAAACCAAACCATATATGTCACAGTGAAAACAAAAGTGATACCAAGAGAAATATATAGCAGCTGCAAGTGGGAGAGATCTAATTTAAGATCTTCTGACTTATGAAGTGGGGCATGTTGTGATTTTTACCTATACTGTAAAGCACAATTTGTACCAGGGTGGGTGTACGTTGGGTTAGTCAAGTGTGAAGATCTGTATCATTATTAGACCTACACAGTCTAGGTTTAAAAAGGCAAAGCAAAGTATCATTAGACATGCAAAGTATATTCTATACCCAGCAATTTGTAATGCATTTTGTCATTAATAAAGTGTTGTTTTTGTTTGAATTTCTGTAAGGTAATTTAACCTTTTAGTGTAAAGCCGCACTTGTCTTGTCTCATTGCATTTGTTCACCAGCCATGGATCTGACCCGACCAGTTGCACATGTCACTGTCAATATCTCTCTCCTCATTTGCTGTTTCTTTTGTGTCTCCAGTCTAATTAAGTAGACAATGCAAAATACTTTTTAAAAAGTCTGTTTTGGTAATGTTCTGCCAAGAACTTGCATCAATGTGAAATTTCTCACGCCACGAACAAGCCTACCCGGGACCTTCTTACTGTTTGGCAATACTGCTAACCACTAAGCCACTGCTGTTTGCACACAAACACGATCATCATACGTTTTCAATTCATCCAAAAAAGTTGGGACTTCTCAAATTTCACATTAGGCCATATGTCTGTGTGTACATAATCAAATACATTTTATGCAAGATCATGTTCGATGGATACATTTGTGTATTAAATACAAAAGAAACCATATACAATTCATACAAAAGGAAGAGCGACAGCAGGTTTACTTGGCCACGGGCCTGAGAGGCTTGAGCTGTCAAGGAGGTTACATTTCTGCTCAACATCCAAAACGAGAGCAACTACGGAGTGCCTGCAGTGCACTTTTCATTGAGGACACACAGAGGCCCTGAGGTCTGAAGAAGTTACCTCACATCAAAGACACATAACAAGGTGACCTGCAAAGCACTGGTCAGAAAAAGTCCTCAAGTGAAAAAAAAAACACAGCAAATCCTTCTGCCACTATCTCTGCAGCCATCCCACATACAACAGCAAAATGCTCAACGGCCGAGGCCTGATCTGTGGAACCACGCATTCACTGATTAACAGCCATTGTAGTAAAGAGATACACACTTGAAATCCACAACAATTACCACTTAGCAATATCAAAGCCTAACTTTGCCACCGCAACCCCCTCGCCCCCATCATTGAACACTGTGCCTGGACTGTCTCGCTCTCTCTCCTGGGGTTGCTATGGCAACACAAGCGTTGACAAGGGAAACAGATACACACGAACACACAGCGGCCTCACGTTCAGGGCACACGACTATCTGGCTGGAATCCTTGTCCAAATTTGGGCCGTTTACAAAGCCGTACATGGCCAGAGCTGAAGAGTGCCTGCACAGGCCTCACTAAGCTTATCTGACGGTGTGTGTGTGTGTGTGTGTGTGTGTGTGTGTGTGTGTGTGTGTGTGTGTGTTTGTGTATGATGTTATTTGGTTGTGTGTGTGGGTTCTCAGGCATAGAGTTTCTCCAGGTGCAGATGGGTTCATCCAACTTTGTTGCAGTAAGATAATATTACTTTTAAAGTGATGCAATCTGAAGCGCTGATCACTAGTTAAGTGTCACTCTCATGTGTTTGTTAGCTGAATGTCAAATGGTGTGGTTATGCAGTCCTAACACATGGCAGCTTGTGGTTCCCATCCAAGTCCACAATTTGGTAAAGTCAACATAGGCAGGCCTGTGGTTCATGACATTAAAATCAAGTATTGGGACACAGAAGACTTCAGAACAAGTCTAGGCACATTTATTCATTACTATCATATTGGTAGCAATCACATTAACTCTACTTATGTAATGATGAACTGTTGTTTTTCCCCTATTAGGGTAGATGAGGATGGGTGCTTATTCTTCACAGGCAATCACACTCTTTGGTCACATTCATGTGTAGCTGCCCTCGTCCTCCATCATCCTTATTATAAAGGCATTCAACTTCCTTCGGGAATTCAAAATAAAGAGCACCGATGGGTCCTTATCAACAGCTGACTGAGCGTGTTAAATTGGCAAAAAGGGCTGAGTGAAAGCTGACTGGCTGTTCAGCCCACTTAATCAGTGGCTCCACCTTTTTAGCACAACCTCTCTTCATTTTTCACCGACTGGTTGTTTTTCTTTTTGTGCAGATACAGAACAAATTTGCATGTTGGCTCACACACCTGTTGTGTTCAAGTTCAGTTTTTAAACAGAGGATGACAAGTGATGTGTGGCAACACATTGCATTTAATCAGGTACCTTTTACATATAATGCATTGTCTTCATTTGTGACTGTTTTAAATTACATGGAACTGGAAAAAAAAGACAAATCTTACAGCTTTCTGCTTCCCATCTAGAAACTGTCCTCCATACCCTCATCTAAATCCTCCCCCTCAGTCATTCCCCACACACTTATTATCTCTTCAAAGTCTTCTCCTTCTCTAAGAATGGAAACAAGCCCCTTAAGGCGAAAGCAGTGCTGCCTCTGTGACCTCCCTCTTCAGTGCGTCACCTTCCTCTGCTGGCTCCTCCCAGCAGCTACTGGAGCCCAACAAAGGTAATCCCGTAATGGCTGCAATTATCTGTGGCTGACAGGTGCTCAAGAGTATGAGTAGAGCAGTGGCCAGAGGGACAGGAGAAAGAAGAGAGTAAGGAGAAAGTACCATGGCATCCTTACTCAAGAGCATTTCAAGAGCATGGTGGTGTCCTCCGCATGTACTGCTGATGGGGGAGACGGCACACCCCCTCATTCAACAGACAAGAAATGTACGGAGAAGAGTAGTAATGTAAAGAGTGCAGCATGGACTTTTTCCCAAACCCGCACTGCCCTAACATTCACCTCTATGGTTCATTAAATACACACAGATAAAAATCTAAAAGACAATGTTTTATGTCCGACAGCAGGCAGAGAGGGCGAGTGAAACGCGAGTAGAGGAGGGGGATCAAAAGGGAACTGAAGTTTTATTTAAGTTATATAAAATACAACAACTGTGGGCCTCAGACATCACAATCAGTCTCCAAAAGACATATAGGACCAGTGCTGCGCTCGCAGTGAAACATTCAGACGTGTAATGACTCACTCTCAGACACGACACGTTGCCATTTAAACCTGTTTGGCCAGTGTGTCTGAGAGGGGGAAAGAGAGGAGGCCTTGTCAAGCATGAAGGCAATAAGATGGATGGCACTATACACTATAAAAAAAAAAGAAGAGTAGGACAAAGACATGAAATAAACCAAACTTAAGGTAAAAAAACTACACAGCAGACTAAATGTCAGCTAAACTAAGTCAGACATGATAGATGCTACAAGCAGAGAAGGACCTTGACAAAATGTGTGTAAAGTGTTGGCTTGATTCTTGATTACCGCTGTGATGATGTGACATTAACAGTATTGCAGGATTAGCATTTCCCCCCAGACTGTGCATGAATACTCTGTGATACTACGGTCTGCTCCACGTGTAATTCATCCAAGTATCATACATACAGCAGACCTGAGAAAGCCAAAGGTTGCTGCACTTTAAAAAAAAAAAAAAAGAGAAAGAAATACACCATGTGGCAGCAGCATGTTAGATATAACATAAGTATCCTGTCAATTTGCCAGGGAGGACTAGAGGATGCATCCTTGCCGCCCTTTCTGATAAAAAGGACCCTCTAATGGAAACTGAGGCTTATGGGAAGTTGAGGTAACAGCAAAAAAAAAAAAACGAAAAGAAGATCAAGTACTAAACGAATCAATGTACACAGGATGCTCCATTTGATTGGTCGATAGAACTGTTTTCAGAAGAAGGCCACACAGTGTACATTAAACTCTGTTTATCCATTAGGGTTTTTGAGATGTGGTTAGCAGTGGAGCAAGAAAAGCAGTGAAAATCACTAATC